CAATTTCTAACGCTCACTCCTTTACCTTTTTCGAGACTTCTAATTGCTCTAATAAAGAGACTAAATTATAGTCTTTTTCATCATCGTTACTAGTAATTACCGCAATTCTTCCGCTTTTATTTGCTTTCGTTGATTCTAAAGGTTTTATTAACTTTTTTGGCAAAAATAATTCTGAATCATCAGTATTAACATATAAAAAATTTTTTCCCTCTATTCTTAGAAGTCCTATTTTAACAACACTAGTGTTTGGTAATTGATTGAAACTTTTCAATTTTTCATATAAAGAACTTATTAAAATTAACTTTGGTTTTATTCCTTTTCATAACTTATACTTATAAATGTCTTTCTCCCCTCTTTTACCATTTTTGTAGTAATAATTAAATTTCGCTTCCTCTATCAAATTTTCTTTTTCCTCTTGGCTCATTTCTTCAAGATACTTTAAAACTTGTTGTATCCGATTATAATCATCCAATTTATATTCAATAATTGCGAAACTTAATGTGGTGGGATTGAAAATAATCGTGTCTTGTATTTTATCATTGCCGATGCGTCATTGTTTAGTTAAAAAGTGTCAGGAAGGGAAAATTTTGTTTAAGTTGTCATTTTCAGCAAAAAAATCTTCCATTTCTTTTTCCTTGGCGAATAGTTCAGGTTTTATGTTTTTTTCTTCTATTTCAAGAAGAGTTTTTTTTATTTTATCAATTTTTAATAATTTAAGCATTTTTTATTTTTCTTCTGTTTTGCTTTTCAACTGCGGAAAAGCAATCACTTCTTTAATACTATTTTGTTCAGTAAATAACATAATTAATCTATCTATGCCAATCCCCAATCCCCCAGCGGGTGGCATACCATATTCTAAAGCTTCCAGAAATTCCTTATCAAAACTAGCAATTTCTTCATTTCCTAATTCTTTTTGTTTAGTTTGTTCCTCAAACCTTTTTTTTTGCTCAATGGGGTCATTTAACTCACTATAACCATTGGCAAACTCTAATCCACCAATATATAATTCAAATCTGTCCGCAATATCTTTATTTTCTGCTTTATTTTTGGCTAATGGAGAAACTTCTATCGGATAGTCATAAATAAAAGTAGGTTGAACTAATTTTTTTTCGACATATTCTTCAAAAAAGGCCAAAATAACCTGTCCGATACTTTTTTGAAATTTTTCTAACCTTAAATTATGTTTTTTGGCTAATTCTAAGGCTTGTTCTAAATTATTTACTTGGGAAAAATCTAGGTTGATATGTTCTTTAATTGCTGCTATCATCGACATTTTTCTAAAATTTTCTTTCAACGAAATATTATGAGAATTAAACTCAAACTCTTCTTTTTTTAATATTTCTTTGGCTAAATAATGTAATAATTTCTCAGTCAAATTCATCATATGTTCGGAGTTCTCGTAAGCCTGATAAACTTCAATAGTGGTAAATTCTGGATTATGTCGAGCATCTATACCTTCATTGCGGAATATTCGACCAATTTCATAAACTTTTTCAAAACCTCCAACTAGTAATTTTTTTAGAGGAATTTCAGTGGCAATTCGTAAATGAAAATCCCTATGTAATTTATTATGGCGGGTAATAAAAGGTTTAGCTTGGGCTCCGGAGGCTTCAGAGACAAGAATAGGAGTTTCAATTTCAATAAACTCTTTTTGGTCTAAAAACTGGCGAATACTTTGGATTATTTTATGACGGGTAATCAAAATATCTCTGTTTTCAGTATTAACTAATAAATCGAGGTATCTTTTACGAAACCTTTCCTCAGTATCTTTAAGTTTATAATGAGCAGTATCAGGAAGAGTTTGCTGGCATTTGGCTAAGACAATAAATTCTTCTATTTCTATACTTAATTCTTGCTTATTTTTTTCTTCTTGAAGGTCAGTTTTGCAAATCTTTCCGGTTATTCCAATAATGTCTCCGCTGCTTACTCTAGCGAAATCCTTGTTCCGAACTACTTTTAATTGCACAACTCCGCTTTGGTCAGCCAAATCAGCAAAGGTTAACTCGCCAAATCTTCTTATCCTGTTGATTATTCTTCCGGCAATCTTTACCGCTTTATTTTCCAGTCTTAACTTTTCTTGAGAAAAATTAGCAAACTCCTTGATAATTTTCCGTATCTTAGTATTACGGGAAAACTTAGTTTGTTGAAAGGGGTTTTGCGATAAATCAGTGAATTTTTTTCTTAATTCTTCTTGCGAGAGTTCCATGCTATAAATTAATTTTTGTATTTCCAAAGACAAAAAAATTACTTTTTTCTTTTTACCTTTTTATTTTTTTTCTTTCTAATTTGGCAAATGATAAAATAAGAAATAATATATAAGAGAATACAAAACAAAAGAGAAATAACGAAAGAAAGACGATGTAAACTGCGTCCAAAAAATTTTCCAAAAGAGGTTTTTGCTAGCCAGCATTCAATAAAAAACGAAAGTAAAACAACGATTAATAGGGAGAAAAGAATTAAAAAAGCGGTAATTCTTCCTTTGGTTTTCTTAGACATATGCGTTTTTTTAGGTTTTGAACCTTGCCTTTTAATATACATTTACATTATCCAACAATTATTCTTGGATAGAATTTATTTCTGAGTTTTTATTACTCTACCAATAATTAATGATAACAATTTACCCATTTCAATTCTTAATCAGAAAATATAAGCAAATAAAGAAATAGAGAATGCTAATAATAAGAAAGGATATTCCCATTAAACTAGTTCTTTGTTCTTCTTTCAAAATAGTAAAGTATTGAATGAAACAAAACACACAAGGGAAAAGAGTTAAAAATTTAGCAAAAGTTTTATTCATTTTATTTGAGTAGGGTAATATTATACAACACAACTATAATATGTTTTTACAACGTAAACAAAGACTATTTTCTAAATCTCGATAATTCCAACACCTAATGCATTTTTCTTTGCTAGTCTTCTTCACTTTGACTGAACAAAAATTACCCTTTTGAATATCAGTCTCCTCTTTTTCATTAATTTCAACTTCGGATACCAATAATAATTCCTCTAAGTTAAATTCTGAATGATTTCATTTTTTTTTCTCTTTTAGATAAATTTCCAAACTGGCTTGCGAGTTAGTAGCAATAATTTTTTCTTGGCGGGCTTTTTCTAGTGCTTGGTAAGCAACTTGACGCAAAGGTAAAAGGAATTCAGTAATTATAGCAACATTTTTTTCATTATTGGAGGAAACTTTTAAATAAGAACAGTTTACTAAATGAATGCTCTCCTGACCGGCAAAACCAAAATTAAAGGGGGTATTTTGATAAACTTCTTCGGCAAGAAAAGGCAAAATTGGGGAAATGATTTTTAATAATCCTGCTAATAAATGATAAAGGGTAGTAATAATTTGTTTTCTTCGTAAAGAATAAAGGTTATCGCAATACAAACTATCTTTGCTAATTTCAAAATAAAAGGAACTTAAATCATTAATGCAGAAATTTAATAAAGAGGAATAGGTAGGATTAAAATTGTATTCATTAAAATTTTTTTGGTTTTCTTCTATTAACCTTTCTAACTTATGGAGAATATAATAATCCACGGGGTTTAAATTTGTCTCTAAGTCCTGTTCGTTTTTTATTTCTGGTGGCAAATTGGCAAGATTGCCCAGCAAAAAGCGTAAAGTGTTCCGAATTTTTTGATGACTTTCTTGGAGTTTTTCTAAAATTGGGATACTAACTTTTACTTCTTTGGTAAAATCCGAACTAATTACTCACAAACGGAGAATATCAGCACCGAACTTTTTGATAATATCCTCAGGGTCAATGACATTACCCAAAGACTTTGACATTTTATACCCTTTTTCATCGACCACAAAACCATGCGAAAGAACTTGCTGATAAGGTGCCTGACTGGTAAGAATAACCGAAGTAATTAGTGAAGAATTAAATCAGCCACGAAATTGGTCTTGGCCTTCGACATAAAGGGTAGCAGGTCAGTGGTTGTTTTTTAATAAACTTTTGTTGTTTTCTTTTTTATTATTCATTTTTTATATTTTTCTAAGTCTCTTTTTAGGCAGTTTTTTTTAATTCTTTTTTTAATTCATACTTGAACAGCAAACTTTTTTTCATATAATCACTTTTTTTAATATTTCTTAGTGTTTGCCTTTATTCCCGAAATTCAATTAGTTATTTTTATTTACCGGCGGAACTTCGCAAATAGAAAAACATTCCGCTAATAATTATTAAGAGAATAAAATCTATTCCGAGTAATCAATAATAAAATTTTGTTAATTTGTTTTCTAAATTTTTAATTTTTTCAGCATTTTTCCTTTCGACTTTGACTAATTCCTTTTTATTTTCATTTATTAAATGTTCTAAAACATTTTTTAAGTTAGCTTCTTTCTTTTCCAATATTCCAACTAATTCTGACTTATTTTTTTCGTAACTTTGCACAACTTCTTCTGAAATGTTTTTTCTTAATTCAACTAATTTTAATTGATTTGCTCTTTCTTCCTCTTGTTTTTCTTTTTGTAACTGTTTTAACTCCTTTTCTAAATCATTTTTTAAAGAAGTAAATAAATTGTCTTTATTCTCATTCATATTAAATATTTTTATGTAAAATAATTTAAAAATAACTTAACTAAGATGGAACTAGAAAATAAAAAAAATTCTAAATTATTAGGACTGAGAAAATTAAAGGATAAATTGTTAAATTTAAACCCTCTCCACAATCGAAAAATAAGGTTTTCATTAAGTGAACAGTTAACATGAGATTTAACCGAACTGTTAAACAAAAATGACCCCACTAATATTTTTTCCTCCTCAATTTTAAATTTATTAAATAATCAAGAAGCCGAAGAAAATTTTTCCCTAGATTTAGAAAGTTTTTTCCAGTCATCAACCCCCGAAACTATTTCTAGATTTCAAAAAAAAGTAGTTCATCTCCAAAAGAAAAATTTAGCAGTTCAGCAAGAAAAAGGATATAAAGCACTCTTTCTGGGAGTTATTTTCGTGCGGGGATATTTTTATAGCAAAAATGTTCTTCGCTTAGTCAACGCTCCTTTATTTTTGCTTCCTTGTGATTTTGATGTGAAAAAACTTAAAAAGTTAAGTCTTTTTTTTCATACAGAAAGGAAAATTAATTACAATTTGCTCTATTATCTACAAAAAGAATTAGGTTTAACCAAAGAAAAATTAACTGATTTCGAGAATAAGATAAAAAGTAGTAAAGGAATGGATGGGTTAGAAAATTACCTAAATTTTCTTACTCAAGAACTACAAAATTTGGTGGCCGCTAGTCCAGTTAAAATCAAACTCTCGCTAACTATTGCTTCGCTAATAAGAGAGAAAAAAAATTTTCCAACTGAGCATGAAGAAAAAAGCAGAGAAACGAGTATTAATCCTTTCGCTGAGCCAAACTCGAAAATCAGCCGCAATGATTTAACTGGTCGGGACAAGCGGCAATGACAAGAATCAGAAAATAAATCGAATTATTTCCTTTCTGATAAAGAACGAAAAAGTGAATATTTTCAACCTGAACCATTTCTCAAACTAACTATCAGTGATAAGCCAAAAAATTATCCTGAAAATCAGTTAGAAATAGTTTTAAATTTTTGTCTAACGATTGATAGTGAACCTAATTTAAGTTTATTTCGTGATTTTGAAGGAATTATTGAAGAATATTCGCAAGATAGGACAATTAATTGGTCTAATTCAGCCTTGGCCTTGCTAAGAGGAGAAGCGGGAAACGTAGTGAGTTATCCGGAAACAACAGATGCTAATCAATCGCCAAAACCTCCTCTCTATATTCCCTTTGAAAGCGACCCTTCACAGACTCGTATTTTAAAAGTAATCTTTCATGATTTTACAGAAAATACTCTTTGTATCGATGGTCCACCCGGCACCGGAAAAAGTCAATTAATTTGTAATTTATTATCTAATGCTTTGGCTTATCAAAAGAAAGTTTTAGTAGTTTGTGAAAAGGAGGTTGCTTTAAAAGTAATTGCTGACAAGTTAAGCAGCATTGGTCTTAATCCTTCTTTCATCAAGATAAGTGAACTGGCTCAAACTCCCCGGATTTACCAAGAAGTATTAAACAGCCTTGAAAATAACCAACAAACAAGGGTTAGCCATTATTCTTACTTCAACAACGAAAAACAAATTGCTAGTTTAGAAGAAAAGCAAAAATCTAATTTAGAAAAAATTGCTAAATACTGCCAAGTGGAGGATAAATTCCGAAGCACTCGGCAAGTCCCTCTCTCTGAGATTTACCTAAAACTCGACAGTGAACAACAATTATCTCCAACCCTAATCCAGTTAAAT